TCTCTCTCTCTCTCTCTCTCTCTCTCTCTCTCTCTCTCTTTTAAATCTTGTGCTCCGCTTGCAGAGGGGCTGCTTTGCTGCCAATGTGCCTTCTTCTTCTTCTTCTTTGGTTTTTGTTCCCTGGGGCGCAGCTGAACGCCACACCTCTTTGGCCACCGGAAATGGGCAGCGGGCCTGTCGAGAGCCCCTTGGCGTTTAAGGCCATCGCCCGTTATTGACGCCTCTGCCCACCGAGCGACACCTTCTTCTGCCGCTTTAAATCTCTTCCCCTTTTGCAAACTGGCTGCCTTGGGGCCTTTTTTCCTTCTCGTCCGAGGGGAGGAAAGAGTGACAAGAAGTGCTGTCTCGACTGTTCAAAAAGACGCCGTCTCTGAAGTGGGGCGTGGCGGTTCAAAGCAGAGGTCTCCAAACGTGGCCCCTTTTAAGACTGGTGGACTTCAACTCCCAGAATCCCTGAACTAACATGACTGGAGAAGGAGGAATTCTGGGAGTTGAAGTCCACAAGTCCTAAAAGTGGCCAAGTTTGGAAACTCTGTTCTCAGTTCTTGTTCTCCTATCTCCTGGAACAAGGGTTTTCCAACTTGGCAAGTTTAAGACTTGTGGACTTCCAACCCCCAGAATTCCTGAGCTGACATGACTGGAGGAGGAGGAATTCTGGGAGTTGAAGTCCACCAGTCTTAAAAGTGGCCACATTTGGAGACCTCTGTGCTAAGCCAAGGGTCCCCAAACTTGGCCACTTTTAAGACTTGGTGGACTTCCAACTCCCAGAATCCCTGAGCTGACAAGACTGGAGGAGGAGGAGGAATTCTGGGAGTTGAAGTCCACCAAGTCTTAAAAGGGGCCAAGTTTGGGGACCCTTAATTTAAAGCAACACGAACTCTTCTTCGTGTATGTTGGTCCCATACGTGCCTGTTTGCTAAGTTGGAGGTGGGTGGGGGGGTCCTGCTTGGTGAGAGGCCAGCTAGCCAGCTTCCTGGGGTGGCCAGTGTAAGAAAGAGGAAGGGGGGGGTACAATTTTTCCCCTTGGAGGGTTCATACAAGAGCCAAAATGCGTGGCATAAGTATACACGGGGACAGGTGAGAACTCCCAAAACACTTTTTGGTGTAAGATAGAAAGGGGGTGGGGAAACAGCTTGTAACAGCTGCTTCCCCTGGCAAACCTGAATGCCTGTTTCTTTCCAAAGGGGTTTGTGGAGCCTCTTTTTCAACCCTGGCACCCTGCAGGACGTGTTGACCAAGAGCTGGTGGGAAGCCAAGCTGGGAGAACCTCCCCTCCAGCCCGCCAACCCTTGTTTCGAGCTGATTTTATCCCCTAAGCTCCAAAACATCCTAATATCGGGAGGTCTCCAACCACTCGGGCAGCTCCCAAGACGTTTGGACTCCCAGAATCCTCCAGCCAGCATAATTGAAGTCCACAAGTCTTAAAAGTTGCCAGGTTTGGTGGGGGGAGCTGCCCTAAGAAGAGGCTAAATTCCATTGCAAATATGATATATATATGTGTGTGTGTGTGATTCCTCCAGAATCCTTTCTGGGCCAGTAGAGGGAAGAACGAAAGCCTCCCCCTTTTCTCTTCCGCTTTGCGCTTTTTCTGCATGGGGTCTAGTTCTAAAAAGGAGAAGAAAAAAATATATCTTGTGTGAGTGGCAGGAAAACAGAGCCGTCTTTTCTCAACTTTTGAGCCGCTTTTTAAAGATTGCGGGATTTCCAATTCCCACCGCTCCCTCACCGGCAACGCTGACTGGGGCAACGGAAGCTCCCTTGGTCTTAAAATGGGTTGAAGACCATTCAGGCTGACCCGCAGGAGCTGCTCCTCAGGGGCAGGAGGAGCGGTCGAGAAATCCCGCGCGTGCATGGCGATGGGTTCGCGTCCAGGGCCCGTCTTAATATATATAGCGGCTGAGTGGATTGTGTTTTTATCTCGACGAATGTTTTTATGAGAACCAAACATCAATAAATGTAAACTCATTGGTGCTCTCATCTAACCCAGCTGCCTTCTGGGGGGGGGGGGGGGAGGGGGGAAAGGCGAATGAGAAAAACTCCCCCGTTGCTATAAGGGGTTCCTTTGTGGCTGGAACATCTGGAGAGGTTTGGCCTCCCTGGTTTGCATCCAAAATGGGAAGTTTTTTTTTTTAGTCAACGTGGGGGCTTAGGGTAGGAACAGACTGAATATACAAAGCAGCAGCATTAAGAGAGGTGGAAGGGACCTTGGAGGTCATCTAGTCCAACCTCCATACAAGCAGGAGACCCTACACACCATTTCTGACGGATGGCAGTCCAGACTTCTTGAAAACCTCCAGGGATGAAGCTCCACCTGCTTAGCTGTCGGGACTAGAATAGGATTTTCCGAGCCACCTGAGACAATGTTGGTAATAACTCTCCACCCCTCATAAATTCTGGGCACTAAGTTTCCTGTGACTTATGTGGCCCCGTCTTCGGATAATTCCAAATCTTCATGATAATAACCCTGGTCATTTACGATTTCTCGGGACTTTGGAGTGGCTTTTGCCTCCAGAAGACGCAGGGGCTTTTAAAAAAAACAGGCCGGAGAGCCATTTGGAATGGTACGGGTCTGCTGCTTGAGCAGGGGCTGGACTAGAAGACCTTTGAGGTCCCTTCCAACTCTTGTTCGCTAGAAATATCCCTAGTGGTTTTGTCTTCTGCTTCAGGTCCCGGGACAGGGGTCTCCAAACTTGGCCGGAGAATTCTGGGAGTTGAAGTCCCCACAAGCATTCAAAGCTGCCAAGTTTGGGGACCCCCTTCCCAGTTGCTTCTTCCCCTGGGGAAGATTGAGCTAGCAACATCAAAATTACAACCTGGATTTATTCTATTTATTTTGCCATTTGCTTCCCTGGTCTTGACCTTGGTGCCCTTTTCATATTGCCCACTAGATGGCAGCATCCCACCACCGCCTGCGTAAAGATAATTTTATTGGAATATTTTATTGAATTATGCAGGCCCTTGGCAGCTTTTCTTTGAAAGTTCAGACTGCCTCATTTTCTGGGCCACCAATTTCGATAAACGTGGGGTGGGGGGGACCCCTGTGGTATCCCACAGGCGGCTGTTGTGCGATTGAAGGGAACACGGGGAATTCCTCACCCACGAGGTGACCCAAAAGTACAATTCTAAGGAGGAGAAACTTCCGCATATTAGCAAAACGTTTGGACGCCTTGAAGGTTTTTGGCTGCCGAGAGTTCAGCGCAAAGGCGGGTGGAAATCGCCAAGAAAACCAGACCACGAAGCCATGAATGCCTGCAGAAAGCAAGATAAAAGATTTAAAAAACACACCAAAGGAGCTTCCGTTTGCAAGGAATGTTGATAGCACAAAAGATGTTTGGGGTTATGTGAATCGTGGAAGGAAGGAAGGAGGGAAAGGCAGGGCCCACTCGTTGGTAAAGAGGGTGCTGTAACTCAGTCCCTCAATTCCTACTCTGGTTTGGGGTCTTCAGAGGAGCAGGGTGGACCTAAGCCATATAAAGCGACCGTGGAGTAGCGGGCTAAGCAAAGGAAGGGCTGAGTTGAAAGGCTTTGCGGACGCCCTCTTGAACTTTGTTACTCCAAGTGTTGAGAAATTGTAGTGAAAGGGGGTCAGGAAAGAGTCCATGTTTTTGAAAGGAGTGGTGGGAGGACCTGGGACCTGTAGTAGTGAATTCAGGCAAAACTTTAGCACGAATTAGCCATTTGTTTATGCACGGTTTGGAATCGGCGTGTCTAGGGAAGAGAAGGACCGAGGAGACAGGAGAGCATCTTCCAATATTTGGGGGGCTGCCCCAGAGAGGGGGAAGGGGGTCAAGCTATTCTCCAAAACACCCGAATGCCAGACAAGGAATAACAGATGGAAACTGGACAAGGGGAGAGATTCAACTTGGAAATAAGGAATTTTCTGACAGTGAGAACAATCAACTCATGGAACCGAAGTTGCCTTCAAAAGTTGTGGGAGCTTCATCCCTGGAGGCTTTCAAGAAGAGACTGGACTGCCATCTGTCAGAAATGGTTCAGGGTCTCCTGCTTGGGTGGGGGGGTTGGACTAGATGACCTACAAGGTCCCTTCCAACTCTGTTAATCTGTTCTGTCTTAACTAGCCATGACCTGGATGACTGAGAGTCTCCATAGATTAGCTAGCATCGGTTTATAAAAACATAAGTGGAAACACAAGATAAGTTTTTTAAAATGATGAATCCGACCTTCCCCCCCCCCCCACATAGAGATTCTTGCTAACCATGGTAAAAGGGTGGTAGTAAGCCTTGAGTAAACAAAGCATTTAATAATGAAGCCCTAGTAGCGAAGGCAAACTGTGAGCTGGACTGTGCTACGTTAAATGAAACTGCTTGAACAAATATAGAAGTGTCAATTTTTATTTCTGTTTGTATCCCGTCTTTTTGCAAGTAAGGTAGCGAACATGTCCAACACCTTCCTCCTTTTTTACACAACCCTGTGAGGTGGGTTGGGATGAGAGTGACTGGCCCAAAGTTACGC